CGTTGTTTCCACTATGTCCAGCTTATTCTCGGTCTGGTCTTCACCCCATATCTGTCCCTTTTGTGATGTCCTGGGGGAATACCTGGCATGGTACTGCTAAGCCAATGATTCTCAAAGCAAGACAAGCAATACCAGCACCACCTGGGAACTAGTTAGAAATACAAATTCTCAGGCCCCAAACACATCTACTGAGTGAGAAACTCCAACACCTACCAATCTGTATTTCAAAAAGCCCCTGGTTTACATGATGCATGTGAAAGTCAACAAACTACTGTGCTAAATGATTTTATATTCTTAAATTTCTTTTTCATATTTAGTTCCACTACTTCTTTCATTTCTTTATAGGACCCTAGACTTTGTTCAAGAAAATACAAAACTTTCATAAGTGAACCTCTCCTTTTAGTTACTTACTTCAAAACATACAAGAGATAGGGTAGAATTCTGGTTTCACTTCCCACTGCTGCTACCATCCATCTTTTCATAACGTTTTCATCTTTCAAAGTTTACGTTATTTTATATATTGCTGTTGGTATTGTTAATGCCAATACTAGTGTTGCTGCTATTGCAGTAAGTAGATCTTAGTGGCGAGACATCCAGGATCTACACCAGATAAGTAATAGAAACTGTAGTTCTCTACCTACTATCTTTATGACCTTGACAAGTTATTTTAATTCATTTGGACATAGTTACATCATCTGTGAAGTAAGGATAGCAGTAAGAGCTTTCTAATATTGTTGTTCTCTAAAAATGAGAATCTGGAAGTAATCTCCACACTAACAATTCCATAACCATTGACTAATGCTGTCTTTATCTGACCGGCTCACAGTTATGAATTTATTTTCATGTGTCAAGCATCAGACTAAGTCTTTTAGATTATTTTGTTTAGCCTTATAGCAGTCGTAAGAGAGAAAATACATTAGTACTGTTATCGTGCAAGTTCTAACATTCTTTAAATGCTGGAAGTGTGACAGTCATTCTTCTGGATTTTTTACTTCTAATAACTCATAGGTTCCCGTTAATACTCCCATTGCTTAGATGAGAAATGAGGCACAGAAAGCTACATAAAAAGCTCAAGGTTACTCAAGTAATAAGTGACAGATGAACTGTGAACCCAGGCAGTCTGGCTGAAGAATCCGTGCTCTGAACCGTTACCTACTGATGTCCTTTTTACAGACAAGGAAGTAGAAGTTTAGGGAAGTTAAACAACTTACCAGTTACATAATTATTAAGTGACAAAGCTGGGGTCCTACAAAAATTACTGTAGCATATTTACGTCAGCCTTTTCCCCCTCTCCTACTGTCAGTGACTTTGACCCCTTGCTCCTCTGCAAGCCATCATCCTGCCTGAACTTACATGCATTTTAACCACCTCCTGCTTCCTGCCTTTTAGATCCCTTTCTCCTCAATCCCAGTCAGCTTTATATTTACTTCACTTGAAGAGCATAATTGTCACTTACCCTCTGTGTTCACCCCAGACTCGATTGTCTCCAAGATGTCACAAACAGATGAATTTCAACCTTCAGCTTTTTGGATTATCTACACTTCCTCAAAGAGGATTTGATGTTCTTCCTTCTCCTAAGCACTTGAGCCACTATGTTCAGCCATTTTCAATACTGCCTTAGTTTCTGGTACATAAGGTAACCCCTTCCATTTGTGAGGCTTTGCTGAGCCATTCCTTCTTTTTGGAAAGTCTTTCTTCTTTTTGATATTAATCGTTCAAAGTTTCCCTACCAAAGGTTTGTGACTTGGTCAACTCAGCTGAAATGAGGATTTTCCTCCACTGTTTTCGATTTGTGCTTCTGTTGTGGCCTTTGGCATACATTGTTCCTGGACTACTTGTCTCTCTTTCCCTCTCCTACTACACTGAGGCCCATCCTCTTTTTTTTCTAAGTGCCTGCTGACATCATGTGAATGAAAGAGCACAGATTTTTAGGTCAGGGAGCACTGGATTTAAATCTGAGCTCTACTACTTGATTTTTTTCTTGGCCATACCACTTTATTTCAGTTTCCTTATTTATGAAATGAGAGGAAAGTCTAACAACTCAGAGAGTTGTTGTGAGGATTAAATGAGTCAATATAAATGGAGAAGCTACAGTAAGTGATCTCTAACTCTTACCTTCTCCTCCACACAAGACTCTCCTCTGAATACAGTCTAACAGAGGTTCGAAGTGTGAATGCATGAATGGATACTGAATGTGGAGGCTGCTTCAGTTTTGGCTGTGTGGCAAGACAAAGTATAAAGGGTTTCCATTTAGGGCAATAATTTTGATAATCAGAATTTTAATTACTTAGATATTAATTAGGATAACAATTCTATAAAATTAAGAAGATGAGATTTCTGAAGTTTGATAGATTCTATTCTCAACTAGATACAAGAAAAATCAGTGGATTTTGAGGTGCAGTGGTCACTAATAATAATAATAATAATAAAAAGGATAGATAAAGAAATTAAGAGGTCAGGCACAGTGGCTTACATCTCTAATCCCAGTACTTTTGGAGGCTGAAACAGGCAGATCACTTGAGGGCAGGAGTTCAAGACCAGCCTGGTCAACATGACAAAACCCCATCTCTACTAAAAATACAAAAAAATTAGCCGGGCATGGTGGCACAGGCCTGTAGCCCCAGCTACTCAGGAGGCTGAGGCCTGATAGTTGCTTGAACCCTGGAGGCAGAAGTGAGCAAAGTTAGTGCCGCTGCACTGCAGCCTGGGTGACAGAGTGAGACTCTAGAAATTAAGGAACTTAAAATTAAAACCATTTCAATTATGCCATGATACTGTATAATTAGAAACATTATTCAGGGCAAGAATGAAAAGTAAAAATTGAAGTGATCTATTGGCATTTTATTTCAGAAATCGTAGTGTAATTTCAAGTGGCTTTTTAAAGATTATTATTTAAATTTACAGTTAGAATGCTAAAGCATATTACTAACTACCTAATATATGTATAATCAGGTATAAATCCTTGTGGCAAAACTCAATGGGTTTTAAATAAAACAGAACTGTGTCTGAAAAAGGTATCCTCTATTTAAAACTAAACAACCTGAACTTGTGATTTTTCTTATCTTAGGTTTAGTTTCTTCATCTATAACATTGGTATATGGATAATACCCATGTCTCTGGGTTGTTAGGTGCTTGTGGAGTTTATGGCATGGGAAGTGTTAATATTGTATGTAGCAAGTCGAAAACACTCATTAAATTTAGTTCTGACTATAATGTGCACTCAACAAATAGTTCATACTTGATTCAGCTTTACTAAGGGAGTGATTTTTCTCACAGGGAACATTCAGCAATTGCTGGAGACATTTTTTGTTGTCGTAACTTAGAGGAGGGGTGTGTGCTACTGGCATCTAGCAAATAAATGCCAGAGATGGTGCCAATCATCATGTAGTACACAGGACAGCACCCCACAACAAAGGGTTATCTAGCCCCAAATCTCAATCACGAACAGGTTGAAAAACTCTAAGCTAAAGAGCGGATAATATTCATCTTTCACCAGCTTATCACAAGATAATCGTATTTGCAAACCCTTTAAAAAGGGAGAGAAAGTGATGATATAATGTTACATTAATAGAAAATAAAATTTATGGGTCATACCTCTAAAATAATTATAAGAAAATAAGGCACTCATATTACATAAACCTGGATTAAAAAGTTTTTCCTCAAACCTTAGCATACAAAATTATCTTTGGCTTACAACAAAAGGACATCTATTTTGAGCAAACAGCACAGAGGAAAAATGGAGCAGAATATTCACTTCATGAGTGACAGCTTACCTCAGCGGAGAGAAGCCACCAAGGGAGGGCGGGTACAGGCTACATATACTTTTGCACAAAATTATTTGACCAGTATATGATCTATAGAAAAAGAGTTGTTTTAATTAGCTCCTTTTGTGATATCATTTCTCACCTTTCTGTAGCAGATTAATAATTGTCATAGATGGCCCTTTGCAGAAATCCAGGTCTTAAACAGTAACATTTAAAAGTGCCCACAAGAAAGATCAGAACTTCTATGAGGGAACCAACATTGACTGAATTCAAGGCTCAGGTTTGACTCGATAAAATTTGCTTAAAACACATAGATTAGTTCATTGGAGATAGCATGTTCCAAAACATCTTTGCAAGAGAATAGTTATAAAGTAACCCAGTTAAAGGAATATTTTTCTTCCTCGGTATAAACATTATAGAAGTTTTTTTTTTTTTTTTTTTAACTATGGAATGGAATGGAATGGAATTTTTACTTGTACATGGATAAAAGCTTTAGCATTGTATTTCCAGCAATTTTTTCTTGAATTGTTGTGTGTAGGTGTGCTGCTAGAGATGTGTCTCAAACAGAATCTGCCCATTTACCCACTGAAAAAAGAAGGAAAATAGTGAAAAACTTGACAGCAATATATGAAGTATAGTTATTTTCATTATTTCAAGAACATGTGCTAAGTGATCTAATCATGAAGTTTTTGGGGACATTCAATATACAAGTTTGTTTATAAAATTTCTATGTATGTGCAGCTTCTAGGGAGGTTACAAATAGCTGCAAAATGTGAGGAACAAGTTCATTTATGCGTTCATTATTTTTAACAACTCTTCAGTTACTACCAACCGTGTGCCAGGCACTGTGCTAAGTGTCGAGGATACAATGGATGTGAAAAACAACTCTTACCCTAAGCAGTTTACATTGTAGGCTGAAATAGAGTCCAAAACTTATATTGATTTATTAAATATTTATGATTTGTAATTAAGTCTATAAAGAAAGTAACAGTATAACAAAATATATTGGCTCCTTTTATTTTCTGTGCATCAAATGTAGAATTTCTAGATGGCTCATGTATGTATTTACAATGGGTAGCCAGTTAAGTCCAGAAGACGTTTTAGAAAAAACAATCTATCCTAAAATTACTCGTAATTTTTTATTACTTTAAATGTTTAACTTCACATGAGAAATTTAAATGTATGTATGTAAGATGCTGAATCGTTTAAACAGTGTTCCCATTTTTTCTATTTCAGGGTGTTTGGAGCTGCCATACTTCTTACCTCTACCCTAAATATGCTAATTCCGTCAGCAGCCAGAGTACACTATGGATGTGTCATATTTGTTAGAATACTGCAGGGACTTGTTGAGGTATGAAACTTCAGGTTGATGTCATTTTAAGATTGGCAAGTAGTTGAGAACCCCAGTTTATCTTTGTCTTTATCTATAAATAAACATATTGTATTAGGTTGTACCTAAATAGAGTTAAAATAAAAAATGGAACTCTAGAAATGTTAGGCAATCATATATTTTGTCTATAAATGATACGAAACTATAAATGTCATGGCTTACCTCCTTCTCTGTAGAATTGAGCAGGATTGAAGAAATACTTTAATGCCTATTTGACTTTAAAAAAGAAAAAAAACAAGGATTTTTGTTAACATACCACGGTAAGTATTTTAGAATCTGTCTTTTGCTGGTAATATCATGAATTAATATCTTGAAAGTTTTATACTAAGTAAGTTCCTTTTGGCCTTGAATCATGATATGAGTTTTCACTGAAATATTTCATTGAATACATTTTTGGGGCATCTAATTCTAATGATCAACTCTTGCTCCATCAGCCTGCAAACTTTGCAAGAATTCCACTTAAAAACTTGAGTTTGGCTTACACATTTCCCATTCTCTTTCCATGGAGTATAATGGAAATAGACAAATAACAAAATATTAAGGCACTAAAAAAAAAAAACAAAAAACTTTTCTCATACTATGCAGCCATAAAAAGGAATAAGATCATGTCCTTTGCAGGGACATAGATGGAGCTGGAAGCCATCATTCTCAACAAACTAACGTGGAAACAGAAAACCAAACACTGCATGTTCTCAGTTATGAGTGGGAGCTGAACAATGAGGACACGTGGACACAGGGAGAGGAACAACCCACACTGCAGCCGAGTGGGGAAGGGTGGGGTGGGGAAAGCATGAGGGAAAAGAGCTAAAGAATGCTGGGCTTAATACCTAGGTGACGAGTTGATAGGTCCAGTTAACCACCATGGCACACGTCTACCTATGTAACAAACCTGCACATCCTGCACATGTTCCCCAGAACTTAAAAATTAAAATAATAAAAAACAAAAACAAAAATCCCTCTATCCCTCCAAAAATAAAAAATATGTATAGGCCCAAAATAATAGAAAAAGACCAATTATTTTAAAGGTCTTAAATTCTACACATTGCTTTAAGGAAGTGTGGGCTCCAAGGATCTAAACTTGACTTTTCTCTGAATAGATATTTATTTTGGGGATTTATTGAATTTAATGGCCTACAAAAAGATCTCCCTAATTTTTCAAACTGTTCAGAATTACAGATAAATTGATTAATATACAGTCTTTTCTTTTACCTTAATCAGAAAAAAAAAATGAGATGGAAAGATGTCTGAAGGGCGGGGAGGATTTGAACAGGATACTAAAAAGACTCTTTTTTTAAATTGCATTTTAGGTTTTGGGGTACATGTGAAGAACATGCAAGATTGTTGCATAGGTACACACGTGGCAGTGTGATTTGCTGCCTTCCTCCCCCTCACCTATATCTGGCATTTGTCCCCATGCCATCCCCCCCAACTCCCCACCCCCCACTGTCACTCCCCTATTTCCCTCCAACAGACCCCAGTGTGTGATGCTCCCCTCCTTGTATCCATGTGTTCTCATTGTTCAACATCTGCCTGTGAGTGAGAACATGCAGTGTTGATTTTCTGCTCCTGTGTCAGTTTGCTGAGAATGATGGCTTCCAGGTTCATCCATGTCCCTACAAAGGATACAAACTCCTCATTTTTGATGACTGTGTAATATTCCATGGTGTATATGTGCCACATTTTCCCTGTCCAGCCTATCATCGATGGGCATTTGGGTTGGTTCCAGGTCTTTGCTATTGTAAACTGTGCTGCAATGAACATTCGTGTGCATGTGTCCTTATAGTAGAACGATTTATAATCCTTTGGATATATACCCAGTAATGGGATTGCTGGGTCAAATGGAATTTCTATTTCTAGGTCCTTGAGGAATCGCCACACTGTCTTCCACAATGGTTGAACTAATGTACACTCCCACCAACAGTGTAAAAGCGTTCCTATTTCTCCACATCCTCTCCAGCATCTGTTGTCTCCAGATTTTTTAATGATCACCATTCTAACTGGCATGAGATGGTATCTCAATGTAGTTTTGATTTGCATTTCTCTAATGACCAGTGATGATGAGCATTTTTTCCATATGTTTGTTGGCCTCATGTATGTCTTCTTTTGTAAAGTGTCTGTTCATATCTTTTGCCCACCTTTGAATGGGCTTGTTTGTTTTTTTCTTGTAAATGTGTTTTAGTTCTTTGTAAATTCTGGATATTAGCCCTTTGTCAGATGTGTAAACTGCAATAATTTTTTCCCATTCTGTTGGTTGCCAATTCACTCTAATGACTGTTTCTTTTGCTGTGCAGAAGCTGTGGAGTTTGATTAGGTCCCATTTGTCTATTTTGGCTTTTTAAAAAGACTCTTGATCCTAAATGCATATCTTCCCCCAACACAGGGTGTTACCTACCCAGCATGTCATGGGATATGGAGCAAATGGGCCCCACCTCTAGAGAGGAGTAGACTGGCAACCACCTCCTTTTGTGGTGAGTACTGTGTGCAGATGCAGTTATGGTGGGTAAAAGTTTAGGAACAACTTAATTAGAAGTGAAAGTTTGGTCAACTCATCTGTAAAACCATCTGGGTTTTGTATGTGCACCTATGAGTGGTAAGGTTTTTGACCACCATTTCCATTTCTTTTGTTTTATTATTTTTCTTAATTCTATTTATTATTATGTTTGTATTTTTCTAGGAATTGATCCATTTCATCTAGAATTTCAAATATATTCATAGGTGGGGGTGTTTTTTATAATACTCATACTGCAGTACATATTTTTGAGAGCCTAAATGTTTTCTTTTTACTATACCTAGACACAGAGATACAAAAATACAAATTTTAAATACATTTACAGAGATTTAAAGAATATTATGTAATTATGTTTACAAATAAATATTACATTTACTTTGAATTCTGTCTGGTGCTAAAATCTAACAGTTTCTCAGAACTTGTATTTGATACAGCTATATGTTTGAATTATAGTGAATAAAATGCCTATAGAAAATAACTATTATAATTTAAATTAACAAGATCTTTAAGTATTCTCCTAAGTACTATGGCTATAATTTCCCATTCATTAGAATTTTTATTTTAGGTATCATAACTGACCTTACTGCTATTTTGGGAAATAGAATTAATGAACATGTATTAAAGCTTCAGCCCCAACTTTTAAAGTGTAGAGCTATTTCTGCTAATCTAAAGCTACTTTTTGTTCACTGCTAACTTTTAAAACATTTTAAGACAATCACTGTGATTTAAGATCATTTAATGCCTGCAGAATGCTCATGTTATTCTCTTTCTACCAAAGCAGTAAGGCAAAAAAGCAATTCCTTTTCCAAATCAGCTATTAGAACTGCTGTGAATCATCCTAATAATAGGAAATTAAGGCTGCTGTGATTTTGCTGTATATTTAAGCCATAAGATTAACAGTATTATTACCTATAGAGGTTGAATTTACATGCATTTGGGTCTAAATCACAGGGCATAAATATTGCCATTTCTGTCAATATGTCTAAGGATTTTTTTTTTACAATTGCCTTTAATAATCCACTGTATAAAAATCAAAGGGATATAAATTAGGTGATACTCACTAGAAAAGCTAATGAATGCTACCTATTATCATGAGAATTGCCAGTATGTTTTAAACTGTTTTATGGGACAGAAAAGAGAACAAATTTGCCATAGTGGAAAAACGTGATAACTTACCATGATGACATCTTCTGGCCATGCGTTGAGAACTGAAGCAATATGCCCTCAATCATGGATACTAATCAAGAGACCTTTGGCAGAAAAATAAAATAAAATGAAGTCAGAAAAAACTACACAAACTTGAAACCGCATGATTTTGAACATGCTTGTGGTAGCAAGAATAGATTTCGGGTGTCTGGTTTGTGTTGGCATACTCTGTCCCAAGTCCAGCACACACACCTGCACAACACATGTTAGTCAGCATGGCTCCATTGTTATCTTTCAATCTCTATTGTGTCTTGGGTTGGAAGTAGATGGTATCCACTTGTGTAATCCTGTGTTCCTGTGTACGTATGTAGACATATATGTGTTTGGTGGTGGTGGGTATGTGTATGGGTGTGAGGCACATGTACCTGAATGTGCAAGTGTCTGTCTGTGTGAATCAACCAAGGAACATGAGATGAAATCAAGAATTTCTACTGATTTCACTCACCTTTCTCCCATTCTTCCTTGCTCCTTAGGTTCCTATGCCGGAGCTGTGATTGCAATGCCTTTAGCTGGCATTCTTGTACAGTATACTGGCTGGTCTTCAGTATTTTATGTCTATGGTATGTTACATTTCTATACAATAGAGTTAAGTGAAATGTGCATAGGCTAAAAGAAAAGTGGTTGAAGACAATGAGATCAATCACTAAATATATTCCTGTGTTTACTTACTTATTTTCTTCTCTTATGAATCATTTCATTGTATTCTGAAGATTAGGAAAATATTTAATCTCTGTTATTTTTCTTAGATTGCCATTTCTTGTTTTAAAAAGCAAACACATTGCTGACAGGAACTTTGTCATGTAGTAAATCTATGTCCTTGATTATGAAAAAATATTAAATTAGCTCTTGATTAAAAGCTAATGAATAGGAAAGAGTAGGCTGCACCCACCTTTCTTTGCCATTACCTTCTTGGTCATTTTGCTGATTCTGCATCTTCAAGACTGAATGGGGGTGTGAAGCTGAAAGGCGGTGGTGCTGCTAGTGCAACAATTCAATTCTTTGATGAAGTATCAGCAGTTAGCTGCTGTGGCAGCACATCTGAGTCCTCATTTCCCCTGAAATAAAGGCAAGTAAGCCCCCACGTTGAAACAAAATATGTAATCCTAAGTCTAAAACACTCTTGATATTCACTTTCTAACCATTTCAAAATATCCCTACAGTCTTCCTTTCTAAGATGCACTTTTTAATAATGAGGAAAGGAAAAATATAAGAGAGCTGGATTCCAACCGATATTGTCACTGATTAATATCATCTTTGAACATTGCCATGAGAATCTGAAATATTAATGAAGTCATGTGGTAGAACAATATCTGGCTGCTTCCAAATTTGCAGTGATTCATTCCCATTTTGAAATGTTCTCATCAGAACAAATTATTCAGCTTGTAGAATGTCATTAAATGTCACTTATCATAGGGATTCTTTTTGTGGTTCAAAAGTCACGAATGGGTTTTGGACCCATGAATGTCCTAAATTGCAAGCCATGTATATATTTGTGAGTATTTTCCTTCTTAGGGAGATTTTTTGAAATCAGATTTTAATTTATACCCTTCATTAGATTTTCAAAAGAGTGCATAATTCAACGAAGTTTAACAGCACTTGATTTATAGGGTGTATTGTTCAAGCTGATATAGCTATCCGTTAAATACTTTAGTTTGTGCCTTAGTCCATTACTTCATTGAAGATGTGTGACCTTAAAGTAAGAATACAAATTTAAACAAGGCACTCATAAACAACTAGTATCATTATTTCAAGTTACATCTCATTTGATATTTATCATTGAATGATACAAAGTGTAAACAGATAGTCTGAAAATATCCTGTCATAATACTTGCTTACTTGCTGTGTGAAACAATAATTTGGTCTGGAGTCACATATTCAGTTTTCATATTTTAAATATTAAAGAGATAAGATCAGTATAGTGGAGTAAGTTAATAAAACACATGAAGTAATTAGCAGTGTGTCTGGCACTTTGGGTGAATTCAGTTAGCAGTAATGATAATTATTACAAAATTACAAGATTTCTCATTTTTGAGTGCTTATTTTGCACCATCCACTGTGTTTCTCGGTTTATACATTACCTCCTTTAACTTTTCCACAATTCCATAAAAATGAATTATTATATCATTTTATAGTGGAGGTTTAGAGAGATTCAGTTACTGATTGGATCACGTAGCGAATGAGTTACACAGTCAGGATTTGAATCTAGGAGTTATATTCTGTAACCACTATATTATACTAAATTGTTAAGCCCTATCTGAACCTAAATCATGTTTGCTGCAATATTTGGTAATTAAAAGGAACACAGCCCATCAGAAGCTATGTATGGTGTTAAGGATCACTTCTTAGAGATTGAATAGGCAAAAGAGAAAGTGTTGTAGGGATCAGTAGCATTTAGGTTGTTACCCAAGTGAAAGAGAACAGTGTGAGGGAAAAATGAAACGGCCAACTGCTGGGAAACCAGAATAAATCACTTGAAATTCTTGCTATTATTAATGCTTACAGATTTATATTGCACAAAAAGGACATGTTTTAATGGTGTGAGTGTTAAAGGAAGAAGAGGATGAAAAAGAATTTAGCTTATGGCCTTGGAATTTATAATTTTCGTCTTCCCAAAGAACAATCAATAGGCAATAGTATGTGCTGAAAATAATGTCATATACAGTCATGTAAACATTAAGTACAGAGGCCCACTTTTTATGTAATATAGCCACTGAAGCTAAAATAACTAGGTTTTGTTTAATAGTCTGTTTACTAGATCTGGAAGTGCTAACAGGAGAGGGAAATGAGCAATTATTTTCTCTGGAAATGCAACCAATTTTATATATTACAGGCAGGGAAGAAGGAAAGGGACTCAATCCCAGAAAAATTCTTTGAGAACAGGAATTTTGTTTTGTTCATTATATTTCTCTACCTTAACTAGAGTACCTAGAATACTAACTGCTCAGTATTGTTGGATGAATGAATACCTTCCAAACTACACCATTCAATAATTATTTACGGCTTGTTGTGTATCAGTGCTATTTAATATAGACAAAGAGATAAAACCACAGAACTAGCCTTTAAGAAGTTTGAAGCTTAATGGCAAAAGAGAAGAAAAGATAGCCAATGTCAGTTGAAGAAACATAAGCTTGAATTCTTCTTTCTAATAGAATATGTTTGTCATGAGATGATTGCAGTTTTATTCCAGCACATCACTGTTAAATTGAAGTATTTGTGGTAGATTTGACTTTCTCCCTCTGAACTGTTGCTTGCAGGAAGCTTTGGAATGGTCTGGTACATGTTTTGGCTTTTGGTGTCTTATGAAAGTCCTGCAAAGCATCCTACTATTACAGATGAAGAACGTAGGTACATAGAAGAAAGCATTGGAGAGAGTGCAAATCTTTTAGGTGCAATGGAAGTAAGAACTTTATTATGGTGTATATTCCTATCTTATTCCCACCTCGTTCCCCCTTGACCAACCAAACTATCTTACAACTTCTTCCTCAACAAAACTAATTTTATATCAATCATAACTTTTTTTGTGTCCATCCATATTCTCTGACTTAGGAATAATAGCTATTTCCTCCATCTGTCATTTAATTTTTCCTTTACCCTTTCTTAAGCCTTTTAAAATGTACACTGGATTATAACCATGACTGTAAATCTAAACAAGATTTTTAAACAGCTCAATATGGTCTATAATTTAAACAAATACAATAAATATTTGTCAATTTTAAATTTAAAAAAATATCCAAATCAGTCCATGAAAAGGGCAATTTTTGGTTTATTGAATACTGTAGTACCCCCTCATCCTCAACAGATCTATTACAAGACCCCCAGTGTTGCTTAAAACTGTGACTAGTACTGAACACTATATATAATGTTTTTCCTATACACACATACCTATGATAAAATTTAATGCATACATACACATACATACACATCCTATACACACATACCTATGATAAAATTTAATAAACTAGATATAGTAATGACTAACCACAGTGACTAATACAAAAACAGAAGAATGATAACAGTATACTGTAAGGAAACTTAACTGAATGTGCCCCTCCCTGCAAAATATCTTATTATACTGTTCAAGGAGTAACCAAAACCTCAGAAAATGAAACCGTGGTTAAGGGGGATCTACTATATTCCAAATGTAGGTTTAATACATGTGTATTTACGTTATATATGGTTTAGGAGATACTGAAGCATTAGAACACCAATAGTAGCTGACATAAAATAATTATTAACAACATTTATTTTATTCATGAAATGTCATTATCTTTCAGGATTATTATTATGAATATCAAGTATTATAAAGACAATGTTGTGAAGCCTTTTTTTCTGATGATTTGATTTCTTAGGATTTATCTAAAGAGAGAGAAAACATAGTTCTATTCCAATAATCCGAATATTTTATTCCACGTAACATTGATATGTTGTACATATTAATTAATACAAAGCCACCTTATATTATGTTTAAAAAAGCAGGCCAGGCGTGGTGGCTCACACCTGTAATCTCAGCACTTTGGGAGGCCAAGGTGGGTGGATTGTCTGAGGTCAGGAGTTTGAGACCAGTCTGGCCAACATGGTGAAACACCTTCTCTACTAAGAAAACAAAATAATATTAACCAGGCATGGTGGCCTATGCCGATAATCCTAGCTACTCCGGAGGCTGAGGCAGGGAAATGGCTTGAACCAGGAAGATGGAGGTTACAGTGAGCCGAGATTGCACTGCAGCCTGGGAGACAGAGTGAGATTCAATCTAAAAAAAAAAAAAAAAAAAAAAAAAAAAAAAACGGAAAACACTGGTTAGTAAAAGCAGTGTATTCAGAAAGATTCAGTCATTTGGTGATCTGATCTATGAATGCATTTTCCTTATGCTAAGAGTTGGAAAGTGTCAGACACTAGTTGTAGAATCAATGACTCTTGCATATTATGCATGTGTTCTTTTAAAACACACCTCCCTCTCCTTATTCGAGGTGTGTTTGATTCCAGCTTAGATTCTCTGCTTCATTTGTTAAAGAATGCCTTTCTTTGACATCTCATCCTAAGTTAAAAATAAAAAATTCTATCACCCATTATTACTGAGCTATATTGGCCCTTAATGAATAAGAAAAATCCCATATCATGTATAATTTCAGAAGTTAAACTTTCAAAGTTTAAAAAAGTCTTTACATTGTAGTGGTTCCATGAGTTAACTTGGTATTAGAATGTTCCCCTTCGTGTTTCCTTCTGTAAATATACGAATAATTTCTTATGGTGGCTACTGAGAAATGAGAGGTGATATGGGAGTGGATGGAAGATTGGTAGTATGCACTGGTGCCCATTAGCTGCAGTTATTTTGAGCAGAAGGTAATAGAGGCTGATTTATGGCAAATTCTGAGGTTAGCCTGGATTTCTAGTTCCAACATAATCTGATCAGCCTATATCCTATTTATTCATTATGTTCTATTATTTGCCAGTTCTTGAGAGGTCATATGTCGAGATTAGAAATAAATTCAAAACAAAATCAGAAATTATGTCTAAGTAAAAACTAATTCCAACAAATGACCCCAGAAAGAACAACAGGAGGATGGAAAAAAACAGCATAATCTTCAGCTCCCCACTTCCTATACTTCACTGCTTTTCTAAACACAGTATTTTACTTTTTACTGATGTTTCACATGTTCCTGTAGCTTCAAAGTAAATTTAAAAATGAGATTATGTGGGAATAGAATTTGTATTTTAGCTAATTTGAACTTTTTTATTGTGAAAGAAATTTAATATATGGCAAAAGAGGAAGAATCAGGAATATCATATACCCACCACATAGGTGTAACAATTTTCATCTTGCCATATTTATTTCACTTTTGTCTTGATGAACTATTTCAAAGTAAATGAAACCTCAAAACAATTTATCCATGAATACTTCATATGTATCTCTAGAAAACTAATATTCTTCTTCACATTCTCAGGGCTACTATTATACCTAATTACAAACAATCCTCTATTATCATTTAACACCCACATCATATTCAAATTTCTGTTACCATCTATATTCTAATATCTAACCTATATTCAAATTTATTTCTAACTATTTGTTTTGAATCTGAATCTGATTAAGAATCACACATTGCAACTGACTGCAATGTCTTTTAAATGTATTTTTTAAAATATATATATTTAAATATAATGTATGTACAGAAAAATTTGCAAATAATAAATATTCTGCTTCTTTAATTTGTATAAACTAAACATAAACAGCCAATTCAATAAATAGAACATTATCAGAATACCATAAACTCCCCTTTAATACCTCAGCAATTTTTTAAAGATATGAAATGAGATATTTTTCTCTTGCATTTGATGAAGTATTTTAGCATCAGAATAAAGAATAAAGTTCTTAGTAAAGATGATCCTGGTATGAATGAAAGGATCTTTGCCCAGCAGGGAAAAGTTTTGTTTTTTTTTTTTTTTTTACTTCTAATAATATTCTGGAGTCATTTCTTATGCTAACATAACACCATAATGCAGACATTTCTGTCTTCTGGCATTTTTATTATCTGTGAAATAACTGTACTCATCTAGAATCATTTTCCTAGAACATATTGATTACTTTTTAAAAACTGCATTTTTAAACCCATTTATGATGCCGCCACTAAATTTTTTGTCCAAAGCCACAGTATTCATTACATATTATCAGGGCAGATTTTTGTTTTCGTTTTCTTTCTTTTTTGTCTTTCATATATTTATGATCACCACATCATAACTTCCTACTGTGTTGCATTTAAAGTGATCTTTAAAAGGCTTAATTACAGCCACAACCAATACTAGCAATTATGAGGTTTTACACTCAGGAATAATTGTTAAATCCATGTGAAATATGTTTGCCTTCTCTTTCAGTAATTTAGTTAGGTCAAGGATCCCAAGTTAGCTTTTAACAAAGTTATTTTAGGCTACTGTTTCCTCACCAAGCAGTATTTTGGTGTTCCAAACAACGTAATTGAGAAATAATTGGAGAATATGAGGGCTATTTTAAGGTCTAAAAATATTAGTCTTGAGGGTGAATACATACTTGGTTACATTTGGGCATATACAGAAACTTTAAGTACAATTAGGTTTAATTTTATAAAGGGGTCATATACACAGCTGATCATATTTGTGTTGTTAATTTTGAATGCTTTAAATATTGTAAGTAGCTAGTTGTATGCCTAAGGTATGCTAGGGAAATGGACAAATGCTTTCACCCAGCTGTTCTGAGTTTCATAGAACCTTGAACTCCAATGTCACAGAATTCATAGTTATAGCTACTATCTCTCAAGAGAATTTATAGATTGATTGATAGCAGAATAATTGACTTAGATTGATTAATAGTAGAATAATTGACATCAGGTAGGGTCTAGAATACTGTACTCTTCCGTTTTTGTAGCTTTCTCTTCATGAATACATTGAATTTTCAATGTTGTAAATAAAATATTTTGGCTATCACAAGCCCACTGATGTGGTAGAGAGTTTTAGCTGAGATATGATCTATCACTACTAAAAAGGAAAAGAAAGAAACCTTAAAAGTAGGATCTATGCTTTTTGAATCAATTTTCTATAATTGATTCAAAAATTATTGAAATTTTTGTATATTCCTAAAGCTAGAATAATTGAATCAGTAGCAGTGATTGAGATCTTTCATTTTCTCTTTCAATGATTATTTATGTAGTTAAGGTTAGCTTTGTGGTTATAATTAATGCTTCACTACATCTTCCTACATCCAACTTATGACCTGTTATATACACCCTTAAAATGCAAAGCACTGGTTATTCCCATTTAAGTTTGAAAATATGTAAAATGGTCATAATATCTGTTTTTGGAATTTCAGAAATTCAAGACTCCATGGAGGAAATTTTTTACATCCATGCCAGTCTATGCAATAATTGTTGCAAACTTCTGCAGAAGCTGGACTTTTTATTTATTGCTCATTAGTCAGCCAGCATATTTCGAGGAAGTCTTTGGATTTGAAATTAGCAAGGTACGTGAAATTTATTCTTATATAAATTGTGGATTACCTATGTATTTAAGTGAATATTAACTTCATTTGCAAAAATTGTTACCTTTGAATTTCCAGAGCTTATTCATTTATTCATTAAAGAAATAACTGCCAGGGATTAGAAGCAAATTAAAATGTTTCAGTATCTACTGTATTCTATTGCCAGCTAGAATTGCTCTCTGGTACTGAGAATACAAGCAAAACAAACCTAGTATCTGCCTTCATGGAACTTACAGCCCAATTGGGGCGAGCAGCAGTGTAATCTTTTCCCTGTAAATATGCATAATTTGCTGTAAGGGTCAGGTCACAGACAATGTAAATGCAAAAAAAAGGTATTCCATTCAAATAGAATTCTACTTACTAATTGCCTAATTATTCTTCAGTGATCCTAGAACTCTTGAACAGCTAAAATATATGAGAATTGTAAAAAGAAAATCTGCAAACACCCTTGTATTTTGTCCATACAATTTATTAATTTAACTATTTATTGCACACAATGTGCAGAACTTTATGTTAGATGCAGAAATAAAAATATGGTTTTGAGCCTCAAAGTGTTCACAGCTTAGTGGTATAAACATGAAAGTAAGTTACCAATTACAACACAGCATGCTAAATTCCACAGACATTTGTTCATAGTTATGGGAATATAATCATTTTGAGATTTTCTATAAGAGTAAAATGAACACAAAAATACTATACTATATTTATATAGGAACTCAAAATTTAGAAAATATTCTCATATTCATTAACAACCTTTGCTAGTTGACCTTTGGAACAACAACCATCATTTCTGTTGAAACAATGGGAAGGCCAGGACAGTGGCTCACGCCTGTAACCCTAGCACTTTGGGAGGCCGAGATGGGTGGATCACTTGAGGTCAGGAGTTTGAGACCAGCTTGGCCAAAATGGTGAAACCCCATCTTTACTAAAAATACAAAAATTAGCTACTCAGGAGGCTGAGACAGGAGAATTACTTGAACCTGGGAGGCTGAGGTTGCAGTGAGCCAAAATCACACCGTGGCACTCCAGCCTGGGTGACAGAGGCAAGACTCCGTCTAAAAAAAGTAATAATAAAATAAAATAAAATTTTAAAATGATGGGAAAACAGAAACTAGGGAAAATATTTAAATTGCTTAAAGCCATGCTAGTAATGCATAACAAAATCAAGTTCAGACAAAGACTCTTTGATTTCCGTTCAATTATCTTTACTATGCCATTCAAATTCAGGTAAATCATGTATCCATTCAAGCATTTAGTGAGTATCTGCTCAATGCCATCTCTATGCCAAGCCCTTTGCTGAGTCCTGAATGCATTGTCTGTGCTGGCAATGGTCTTGCTATCTCTCTTCATGTCATTACATAAGTCCAGCTGGGCTCGCTATTCATATTCTGTCTCTACTTGAAAGACTATCTGAGACCTGGGACTTAAGAAAACCTCAGTTTAGGAGTAGCTATTCTAAGAGCTCTTTTGTAATTCCTGTTTCTAAGGAAACTGTTTCCTCCATCCCTGAGAAGAATGGCTGCTTTAGTCAGAGCTCTTGTCTCTGGAGCTGATCAAATATTCCAGGGTAGCCTTTGGGAACTCTGAGAGGTGTTATACATCTCAACAAAGACTGCTGGAGGTGTGAGTCCATTTTCATAATCTAGGACAAATATGACACTGAGAGGCTATTAATAAAGCCAGGTCTCAGAGGGGAGAGCGAGGAAGCCAACTGATGTTAATGAAACTGTGATCATTTTGCTCCTGTACGTCCGATAATTGAGAATGCTTAAGTAAAAGCAATGGTATTTTGCAAAAACTAATTATAAATTAACCAGATGGGTTGATTTATTTTCTTTATTAGTTATATTTTTAACTAAAATTGTGGATAAATTCACACACCACAGATTGGTCCTCAGATATGAATTAGATTGGTTTAAAAAATTCTGACTTAGCTGAAAAATTTGTATAGGAGATGCTGGAGAACAGAGAGAATTTGCTTTGGGTCTAGGCTGTCATGGTTTCAAATACAAGCTCTACAGCAAAGTATTGGTATATAATCTTGAGCAGACTTTTGAATAATTATCAGCTTCAATTTTCTTATCTCTAAATAATGGTATTAATACCATCTTTAAGAAGTGCAGCCAAATTTAGGTAAAGTAAATAAAATATTTACATGGAAGGTCATTCTCTGCAACTTTAGTTAAATTGGGTATCCTACAGAAAAAGAAACACAAGTGCAATGGCTTCATCTTTGTTCTAAGTATACTGACTTAGTTAAGATAGTAACATATATATAAATAAAATTATAACATATATTTTATATCAGCTAAGTATATAAGTTAATTATATTAGTTAACCGATACATATATATATAGTAATATATATTTATATTAGCATAGGCCAATACAATATATGTCAAGTATATATATTATTTATTTATTTTTTAATCAAGTGTGTGTGTGTGTGTGTATATATATATATATATAAAATTTAATATATTATATTAGCCTGTGCTTATATGCAACATTTTCAGGACCTCGAAAATGGCATATCAGTAGGTCAGTGCTAGGGTTAACCAGCACTTTGAAAGGTGAGGTTATGGGGACAAGCCAAATGAGAATAGATATCCATTCCTTTTGAGCTTCCTACTTAGGGGAGGAGAATAATACTGTTGGCTGGCTGTGCTTTGCTGCTATTTCTGAACAGAACATGGATCAGATAGGAAGAGATACGATCTAGACTGTGACCCAGAAAAGCAAAAAGAAGGATGGGCAAAAATCTAGTTACCTGGAGTTTCTATGAAGATTAAAGCAGTACTAATCTCAAAAACATCTAGCCTATCCTGCAAAACCTTAAAATAATAAGCAAACTTTTATGCGATTGACATAAATGATCCTTAGGAAGGTTCTGATCATTTTGATCATGTGGCAAGTTATTACTCATGATAAGTCACCAAAAGCCAAGAAGATCGCTGAATAACTCATAAACTTTTGAAACCTCTTTGGCCCTTTTGAGGTCAAACACAGAGAATATCTACATATTGTTTAAGAAGCTAGGATATTCAATACCCTCAGCTGTTAAATAATACGCCAAAATAGTCTAAAACTTCTGTCTCATTAACCCTCTAGATTGTTAACACCTTGCATTTTCCATAGAGCTTTGAACACCCTTTGCTGAAAGTGTTAAAAAATAACCATAGCTTTGTTCTTTCCTTATCCAAAGTAATCAAGATGATTGTTTGAATAGATAGCAAATAACAGAGAGTTTTCAATTAAAAAACTTTTCACGTGTATCAAATACTGCGTCAAAATGCAAGTTGTTTATGTGGACTTAGGCAATGTGGTTACTCCCAAGCTTTTAGCCTGCCTTTAAAAATGCCAAACCATGCCATGTAATTCTATACAAATCCTAACATAGAGTGTTCCATAATTTTTTTTTTATTCAAAGCTTTCTTTCTATACATTGACTGCTTGAAATATATCTACTCCCTATGAAGAATAAAAATCCCTGTACTTTTCTCAAGGTGCTGGTCTCAAAGCAATAATTTTTTTTTCTAATGTCAGTTTATCTGACATCTTTATTTAGCTCACTGTTGAACCCCTGCTACATACCAAGTTTTGTACTAGACTAAGTGCATTAACATATATTGTCTGATTGTATTTGATTTTTCCTTCTAGCGGTAGTGGTGCTAAACATAGTGGCTAAGATCCCAGTGTTTGGACTCAGGTAGAACTGATTTAATATTTAGCTCTCACAATTGCTTAAGACTTCTGAGTCTCAATTTCTTTATTTAAGAGGAATATTAAAATCTTCCATATGGGATGGGAGAGATCATTAAATAGCCTGAACGTTTACGCTATCATGGAATATTTACTCTCACAAGTAATCATTATGACAACTCAAATCCGTGATTGTGATACCATACTATATACCAGTAAAATAAAATAGAATCTTTGTCTCAAACTTTCAATAATCTAATTGAAAAGACATACTTAAACATAAATAATAAACACTATCTGCCAGGAATTGTTCTTCAATATATACTTAGTAAGAAAATAAACAAAACAAAAAACAAAAAATCTTCCTTATATGTTTCCATTCAAAGTTTATTAAGTCCACGTATGTGGTAATACATAATTTAAATGCATTTTATTTATACTTCTGGTCCCCAAAATGCTTAGAACACAGTGCTTTGTGTGTAATTAATAGTTAAAAATGTGTGTTTAACTGATCCTGGTGGGTAAAGTTTTAAATTAGGCACGAAATTAATGAAAAAACTATATGCAATTACTAAGTGTGATAATATCAATACCTGATCACATTTTTGTATGGTCAAATGTATTTTTTTTCATTAATTTCATATAAAAATGTGATCAAGTATTGATATTTGATGTAGAAAATACTTAAACCTGAAGAACTTATCTGCATTATCTGGGATCTTACTCTATAGAAATTATGTCTGTGCTATAAAACTCATAAGAGATATATATTTAAAATGCAAATATGCATTTGTCCCATATGAATTAAAAATGAATTTTAAATACAGGCTCTTTGAGATGTGTCAAATGTATTTTTCCTCACTCTGCCTCTCTCTCTATTGCCACTTTCCCTCTCTTTCACTAAGGATGTATTTGTGCCAACACATTTAATGATGTCAGAATAGTTGATTCATACTCAAAATTTACTGACTCGTAACATAGCAAAAAAAAAAAAAAATTACCTTCTCATAGAAGGTAGAAAGGGGTCAAAGTAAATTCGCTTAGCTTTTCTCATTTATTCTGTGGAAGGCATTACTTATTCTAGAAATGAGTAAGTGGTCATTTGGAAACAGCATTTTCCTTCCTTTGTTCGTAAAGATTTGATGACAGATTCAGAAAACCAAGGCCATTAAACTGCTCACATTATTCATGGCTATGTCTATTTCTCCCCTTTCTTGTTTTTCATCAGGTTGGCATGCTATCTGCTGTGCCACACTTAGTAATGACAATTATTGTGCCTATTGGAGGGCAAATTGCAGATTTTCTAAGAAGCAAGCAGATTCTTTCAACTACTACAGTGAGAAAGATCATGAATTGTGGTGGTAAGTACATAAGTGGCACTAAGGTCATATTTTTAGTTCAATCAGTTTAACCTACATGAGTGAATAACTTTTTCTACATGTATCAAATTACTCAGATGCAGTTACATTTGTGCCTTCATTGTTCATTTAAAACAACTTTTTCATCTTCAAACTTTTTGTAACTCCTAGTTTTAAGTAATTGCTTAATAATACCATTTGTAGTTTTTGTAACTAACTTACCTCTTCCCATTATTGAAACTATAGGATGTTTTGGATGTCTTAACTAAAACATAAGGAAATCTTCACAAATCTCTAGGATAAATTATTACTATTACTATTTTTGAAGATAGGCTCTCTGAAGTGGAATTTCTAGGTCAACAAGTTGGAACATTTTTAGCAATTTTGGCTCATTGGTAAAATTTCAAAAATTTCTGAAGAATTTCTATGTGTTTGCTTCTAAAGGTTTTGGCATGGAAGCCACACTGCTCCTGGTCGTTGGCTATTCTCATACTAGAGGGGTAGCAATCTCATTCTTGGTACTTGCAGTGGGGTTCAGTGGATTTGCTATATCTGGTAAGATATAATTTTGTTTTTCTTTGTTCTTGTGACATTCTGATCTTGACTGCTGATAACAGATACATACGTGTATCTTTTTATAGACATCTTCATATACATCTTTGATACATTGAATAATAGTCAAATATTTCCACTGGAAAATGAAGACAATAAAATATTTAGAAAACATTTAGATTTGTTAATACTCAATTTCCTCCTGACCTGCCTTTGTTGTTGTTGTTGTTAAGAGAACATTACCTCCTCTCTGTGGACTTAGCATCACATATTAAGGATTGGATAAGAATTCAGACATCATTCCATTCTCATTATATCCCCAAGAGAAAATATCACAAAGTAATTAAGGGCGTCCTCTGTACCCAATATATTTTAAGAAGCCGTGATTTGTGGTTCTGTAGGTTCTTACTTCTAAGAAGTTTAGAATTCCCTGATTCAAAACTTATGTGTGTTATTTCAGGTTTCAATGTTAACCACTTGGATATTGCTCCAAGATATGCCAGTATCTTAATGGGCATTTCGAATGGTGTCGGCACATTGTCAGGAATGGTTTGTCCTATCATTGTTGGTGCAATGACAAAGAATAAGGTAAGATGGTCAAAACAGGTGTTTGGTCATAGAAGACAGTTTCTCAAAATGATAAATTTTTTTTGGAAAAAGAGTTAAAATATTATCCTTGGCATTCTCTTTCTGGACCACTCATCACTTCTCTGAGTGGGAAAGATAAATGAGGCTCAGAATAAAATACCTTTTTGGGAATTCCAAGAAAGTCCATTTCCCAAACCATAAACAATATGTTTCTCAACACTTTTTGATAGTTCTAATATCCCTGATGTGACAAAAACCCCTTTTGTCTCTAGCTTTTTAAAATAGTCAAGCAGATGTCTTCTTAGGTTTGTTTGTAAACCTCAATTCAGAGTCCTCTGCAGTTGTCCAAAGAAGAATATTATCATCAGCTATTTGTACTTATATGTTTATGCAGAGCTTCAAAAATCAGGTTTACTAGAAGTAAAGAAACAAAAGAAATGTAATAAAAAGACAAGTCGATCAACGGACATGAAAAGAGATTATGAATATTTTAAAAATCATCAGGCTGTAGATATATTTGGAATTTTATTTCTAAACTTTTAGATGTAAAAAATTAAATAATAAAAGTAATAGTATTACAGAAGTGTTATATAGAGTGTTTGCTTTACATAATCAGGACATGGACCAAAGATAGTGTTTTATGAAGTCTAAGTAGTGGTGCATTCAGAAAAGTTGTTAGGCGCTTAAATCATGGGGAGTCTCTTCTCACAGTGCTGCTTTTTGTCACTGCAGTCACGTGAAGAGTGGCAGTATGTCTTCCTGATCGCTGCCCTAGTCCACTATGGTGGAGTTATATTTTATGCAATATTTGCCTCGGGAGAGAAACAACCCTGGGCAGACCCTGAGGAAACAAGTGAAGAAAAATGTGGATTTATTCATGAAGATGAACTTGATGAAGAAACAGGGGACATTACTCAAAATTATATAAATTATGGTACCACCAAGTCTTATGGTGCCACAACACAGGCCAATGGAGGTTGGCCCAATGGTTGGGAAAAGAAAGAGGAATTTGTACAAGGAGAAGTACAAGACTCATACAGCTATAAGGACCGAGATGATTATTCATAACAAAACCAATTACTGGATTTATTTTTAGTGTTTGTGATTAAATTCATTGTGATTGCACACACACAAAAAAAAACACATGATGTAAACATGTAAACATAACAACCAGGCAAGTCTTGCTGTAAAAATGAAATGAAAACAAACTCATGAGGCTACCATCAAGTGCAATCTGTAAAATTATGAAGTTCCATCATTTCCATTCAAGTCATTCATTCTTGCGTTTGTGACTTACAGGTTAACTGGTCAAAATTGTAGAAACAAGTAGTTACCCATTGGATTTGTATGAGCTAAAACTCATCACTGTTTAATAAAGCACAACTAAAACAGTTGGCACATCTCATCCTACAAAAGTTAGGAAGCCAAAGCTACTTGATCATGCAAAATGCACTTATATATTTGTTACACTGCATTGCAAGATAGCACAAAGAAGTCCTGTTTTTTGAAAAAAACCGGGAAACTGTCAAGTTGGCTGCATCAGGTTGTAGCAACATTTATTAAGGAAAATCATGGAGTTGGGATATCTCTCAATTAAAGAAGTACATTGTGAACCAGCAGCTACAGTTGTACTGAATAATTGTTAGAATTGCATAATGTGGGATATTTTGTTAGCCCTAAAGAGGAATATCTTGCAATGTTTTCTATGAAATGCTTGGGCATGAACACTTATTTCTGTGAAAGAGAACATGTAAATTGAGGGGTATGCTTCATGTTCTTCCATCCATTTACCTAACAGTATGAAAAACTTCGCATTTCAATAAAATCAAACTTTTCATGTAGCATATCACATAACTATTTTGCAAAAAATATAAAAAGAAATAAACTTCAATGTATTTTTTATTACAACTTTGTACTGGTTGTAACTTAGAAAAAAAGAGATATATACACCATAAAGAATCTAATAAGAAATTTACTATGGAGATGTAGCCCTTAAAATGCAATATTAACAACAAAGAAATAGAGAATCGTTTAGATATCCTTCTTCCTTCATAATTAAATACTATATGAAACTTGTGCCACAGAGCTATATATAATATGGAAAGATACACTTCATAGAGATATTGTAAGTAGAAAATTTTATTATTTAAAGTCCTATTAAGAAATATTTGTCTTAAATATATAGGACAATAAATTATATTAAAATTGTCTCTCTCTATATATCTNAGAGGTTTGGGTTTAAGTATTTGTGTAGTAGTGCAATATTTTGCATGTTAAACATCTAGGGCAGTGTCAACTGAATACACAGAAACATAACAAAAAAAATCACACAAAACCAAAAATAACATACACCTAATGTTGGATTAGGGAATTGCAATTTCTACTTTCATAGAGTCATAGAATTTTAGATGGGGAAGAGGCATTTTGCTTGTCGTTTCTTAATATAACTCAACAAGAATTGTAACATTTGTGTACCAAGCAATAAGTGCAATGCATAAAATTTCCTGTCTGTATATTACCTTCATTTTGCTTGTAGTAGCTGTTTGGGTGGTTCAAATGATTTTTTTTTTCTCTTAAAAAGCTAACATCAGACCTCTTTATGATGCCCTAAAATTATGACAATGCATTTCCCAATTCAACTCAAAATATTCTTGGTGTATTTTGTCTATTCTGGATATTTGATCTGTTCATTGTATTGTGCTAGTGACTGGAGGCCATGCTACTGCGAATATAAAACATAAAGGTTGTTTAAAAATGCAAATTATTCTTTACCTTAAGAAAATAAAAATACCCTTTGCTTTGTGCCTCAAAGTGATGTAATGTGATCACAGCTTTTGTTGTGTTGAATGAAAATCTGTGGACTGTCATTTTGTTGCAGCAAAAAAAGTGTTAATAAAATGCTCTATTTATCCTTTTCTAAAAAGCAGTGCATTAATCATATATTAATTTGGATTTGTTTTGTTTAGTTTTTAGCTTTAATGTGAATTTAGCTGGTGGAGGTTCCAATGAAGCCAAACCTAGGCTCAAGAACAACAAACTTTTAGCCACTGGAGACTTAATGAAAGAACATGGCATTGTTTTATTTTTTAATTGTACTTTACATTCTGGGGTACATGTGCAGATCATGGAAGATTGTTGCATAGGTACGTTCATGGCAAGGTGGTTTGTTGCCACCATCCCCCAATCACCTATACCTGACATTTCTCCCCACGTCATCCCTCCCTCATCCTCCCTCCCATTATCCCTCCCGTAGCCACCCCCAAGGGAGGCCAGTGTGCGATGCTCCCCTCTTTGTGTCCAAGTGTTTTCATTGTTCAACACCCACCTATGAGTGAGAACATGCAGTGTTTGATTGTCTGTTCTTGTGTCAGTTTGCTGAGAATGATGGTTTCCAGGTTCATCCATGTCCCTACAAAGGACACAAACTCATCGTTTTTATGGCTGCATAGTATTCCATGGTGTATATGTGCCACATTTTCTTTGTCCAGTCTATCATCAAGGGGCACTTGGGTTGGTTCCAGGTCTTTGCTATTGTGAAGAGTGCCACAGTGAACATTCCTGTGCGTGTGTCTTTATAATAGAATAATTCATAGTCCTTTGGGTAAATACCCAGTAATGGGATTGCTGGGTCAAATGGAATTTCTATTTCTAGATCTTTGTGGAATTGCCACACTGTCTTCCACAATTGTTGCACTAATTTACACTCTTACCAACAGTGTAAAAGTGTTCTTATTTCTCCACATTCTTTCTAGTATCTGTTGTCTCCATATTTTTTAATAATCACCATTCTAACTGGTAGATGGTATATCAATGTGGTTTTGATTTGCATTTCTCTAATGACCAGTGATGATGAGCATTTTTTCATATGTTTGTTGGCTTCATATATGTCTTCTTTTGAAATGTGTCTGTTCATATCCTTGGCCCACTTTTGGATGGGTTTGTTTTTTTCTTATAAGTCTATTTTAGTTCTTTGTAGATTCTGGATATTAGCCCTTTGTCAGATGGGTAGATTGCAAAATTTTTTTCCCATTCTGTTGGTTGCCTGTTCGTTCTAGTGATTGTTTCCTTTGCTGTACAGAAGCTCTGGAGTTTAATTAGATCATATTTGTCTGTTTTGGCTTTTGCTGCCATTGCTTTTGGTGTTTTAGTCATGAAGTCCTTGCCTATGCCTATGTCCTGAATGGTTTTACCTAGGTTTTCTTCTAGGGTTTTTATGATGTTAGGTCTTATGTTTAAGTCTTTAACTCTGGAGTTAATTTTATTGTAAGGTGTCAGGAAGGGGCCCAGTTTCTACTTCTGCACATTACCAGCCAATTTTCCCAACACCGTTTATTAAACAGGGGATCCTTTCCCCATTGCTTGTTTTTGTCAGGTTTGTCAAAGATCAGATGGTTGTAGATGTGTGGTGTTGCTCCGGAGGCCTCTGTTCTGTTCCATTGGTCTATGTCTCTGTTTTGATACCAGTACCATGCTGTTTTGATTACTGTTGCCTTGTAGTATAGCTTGAAGTCTGGCAGCATGATGCTGCCAGCTTTGTTCTTTTTGCTTAGGACTGTCTCGGCTATGAAGGCTCTTTTTTGGTTCCATATGAAGCTTAAAGTGTTTTTTTCCAGTTCTGTGAAAAAGGTCATTGGTAGTTTGATGGGGCTAGTGTTAAGTCTATAAATTACTTTGGGCAGTATGGCCATTTTCACAATATTGAGTCTTCCTAACCTTCCTAATGAGCATGGAATGTTTTTCCATCTGTTTGTGTCTTCTCTTATTTCCTTGAGTAGTGGTTTGTAGTTCTCCTTGAAGAGGTCCTTTACCTCCTTTGTTAGTTGTATTCCTAGGTATTTTTTATTCTTCTTGTAGCAATTGTGAGTGGGAGTTCACTCTTGATTTAGCTCTCTGTTTGTCTGTTATTGGTGTATAGGAATACTTGTGATTTCTGCACATTGATTTTGTATCCTGAGACTTTGCTGAAATTGCTTATCAGCTTAAGGAGAGTTTTGGCTGAGGTGATAGGGTCTTCTAAATATACAATCATGTCATCTGTGAATAGGCAAAATTTGACTTCCTCCTTTCCTAATTGAATACCCTTTATTTCTTTTTCTTGCCTGATTGCTCTGGCTAAAACTCCCCATACTATATTGAATAAGAGTGGAGGGAGAGTGCATCCTTGTCTAGTGCCAGATTTCAAAGGGAATCTTTCCAGTTTTTGCCCGTTCAGTATGATATTGGAAGTGGGTTTGTCATAAATAGCTTTTATTATTTCGTGATTGATTCCATCAATATCTAGTTTATTGAGAGTTTTTAGCATAAAGCACTGTTGAATTTTGTCAAAGGCCCTCTCTGCATCTATTGAGATAGTCATGTGATTTTTGTCTTTGGTTCTATTTATATGGTGGATTACGTTTATGGACTTGCACATGTTGAGCCTGCCTTGCATCCCCTGGATGAAGCCTACTTGATCATGATAGATAAGCTTTTTGAAGTGCTGTTGCAACCATTTGCCACTATTTTATTGAAGATTTTGTATCTATGTTCATCATGGAGATTGGCCTGAAGTTTTCTTTTTTTGTTGCATCTCTTCCGGGTTTTGGTATCAGGATGATGTTGGTCTCATAAAATGAGTTGGGGAGGAATCTCTCTTTTTGTATTGCTTGAAATAGTTTCAGAATGATCGGTACCATCTCCTCTTTGTATGTCAGGTAGAATTCGGCTGTGAACCCTTCTGGACCTGGACTTTTTTTGGTTGGTAGGCTGTTAATTGCTGCCTCAACTTAAGTCCTTGTTATTGGCCTATTCAGGGTTTCAACTTCTTGGTTTAGTTTCAGGAGGGTGCAAGTGTCCGTGAATTTATCCATTTCTTCCAGGTTTACTGGTTTCTATACATAGAGTTGTTTGTAGTAATCCCTGATGGTAGTTTGTATTTCTGTGGGATTGGTGGTGATATCCTGTTTATTGTTTTTTATTGCATCTATTTGATTATTCTCTCTTTTCTTTTTTATTAATCTGGCTAACGGTCTATTTTGTTGATCTTTTCAAAAAACCAGTTCCTGGATTTACTGATTTTTTGAAGGGTTTTGTCTCTTTCTCCTTCTGCTATGATCTTAGTTATTTCTTGTCTTCTGCTAGCTTTTGA